CTTCCCCCTGAGCCCCAGGCTGCCTGTGCACTCTTTATTTTTTTTTTTCCCCTTTTTTTTTTTTAAGATTATTTATTTGACTGATCACAAGTGCTCAGAGAGGCAGGCAGAGAGAGGGGGAAGCAGGCTCCCCGCTTAGCAGAGAGCCCAGTGTGGGGCTCAATCCCAGGACCCTGAGATCATGACCTGAGCCAAAGGCAGAGGCTTAACCCACTGAGCCACCCAGGTGCCCCTGCCTCTGCATTTTGTGTACTAGTCAGGACTGCAGCAACCCTGGGTACCCAAAGAGTCACTGCTACATCAGGTTCATCTGATTCCACCAGTGGCTTGAAAGTGGATTCATGAGGTGATGGAAGACTTGGGTTGTGGGTTGTTACTGCCCACCCATGGGACCAGACTCACTGGCCTGTCCCCCTGTGCTATCTATCACCTTCCTGCCGCCCCCAACATCCGGCCAACGTCAGGCTTGGTGTTCATCCTGGAGGGACCTGTCTCAGGGGCGGGCCAGGCAGTCAGACAAGTCTGACAGGTACCTTGGGAACCTGGGATCTGGAGGGAGTGGTACCAAGGCAGTACCTTCTGCAGGGAGGGGCACCTAGTATGCAGCTGCTGGTAGGCAAAGTACTGGGGTCAGAACTGGCAGAGACGTGCCAGGCAGAGGAAGGTGGCACCCAACAGGTAGGAAGAGCCCAAAGGCCCACTGGGGTCTGTCGTCGGGAATCTCTGGCACCTGCTCTGGGTTTCTGTCATTTCTCTGTGTTGCTGGGCTCCAATCCTGAGGCTTGCGTGTCCTCTTTTCCTCATCTGCCCCTCCTGGGATCTGGTATGGACCCCCCCAGAATCGAACTAGTTCTTAGAGGTCCCCATCTTTTGTTCCTCTCCATGTTGGAGCCTCCCCATTGCTTGTCTGGGGTCCTGCCTGGTGATGAGTCCTCAGCTGTCATCTCTGCCTCTTCCCCACCTAAGTCAAGCTTAGGACCTACCATGCCCCCTGGGTCTGTCCCTGTCCCCCAGTCCTTTCCTCCCATCTCTTGCTCCCTCCCTCCTCCAGTCTTGATGCTTCTTCAACTCCCTACCTGGACACCCTTTTCCTTTGCTTCTACCCTGTGAGTCGCCTACCATTCTAGCCTCTGCTCCTTGGCTCTACACCCCCCTTCTTTGCTTCTGTACTCCAGAGTGCAGCTCCTGACCCCCGCAGACCCTCCTCCGCTCTTCCACCGCCTGCGTTCCTGGCTGACGGGCCTCTCCCCTCAGGTCCCGTCCAGATGCCCTGCCCTCGGCTGCCCTGGCTCCGCCGCTCCCGGGCCCCTCAGGGCTCAGGCCCCAGCTCCCAGAGCTCACTCTCTGCGCCCCGCTCACCCGGCGGGGAGGAAGGCCAAGACGACGACGGCGAGGAGGAGGAAGGGGACGGCAGCCCCGGCTTGGGCCCCATCCTGACCCCCGCGTCCCCTGTGGAGTGTCTCATTTGCGTGTCACCCTTCGACGGCGTCTTCAAGCTGCCCAAGCGCCTGGACTGCGGCCACGTCTTCTGCCTCGAGTGCCTGGCTCGCCTGTCCCTGGCCACGGCGGGGGGCGGCGACGCGGTGGCCTGTCCGGTGTGCCGCGCGCCCACGCGCCTGGCCCCGCGCCGAGGGCTGCCCGCGCTGCCCACACAACCGGGCCTGCTGCCCCGCGACGCGCGCGCGCCCCTGCCGCGCCAGGGCTCGGTGCGCTTCGACCGTCGCCGCGGCCTGCTGTACTTGCGGCCGCCGCCGCCGCCGCCGCCCGGGCCGCGCAAGTCCCGCGCCGCGCGCCAATTGCCTTCCGTTGTGTTGTTCT